AACTAACCTGACTTTGTTTTATGTATAGATTTTTACACTAATCCAAGCTTATCAATTAAGTGACAAATACTTTGCAGTAGATACGTTAGATAGAAATAGAATAGTGGACTCATGTCCACTAAGTGCAGAAACAGATAGACAGGAAGGAAGAAACGAAAGGAAAGAAACAAGGAAGTTGCATTTCATAGTATATTTCGCTACTTTTGCTATTTTATTATAATGCATTTAATCCTATAATATTAATGTAATTCTTGTATGAATTTATTTCATCATTTCGTGTATCTCGGAAACGGCTCTTATGATTGGGATCAAATTTGTATTTAACTAAGATTTTCCTTTTTTAGTTTATCTATACAGGTGTCTTTCTTGAAATAAGTGCAATTTTTATATATCCTTTTCTGATCGAAGCTCGGTCATACAGATTTTAAAAGATTTTAAACAATAAAGTAAGCAATTACTATCATAATAAAATTTTATTTTACTTTCAGTTAACTATGGGTTTCTATTTCTTTTTTTCATTATAAGCAATATTCCGTGGTTAACAACATTAGATGGCTACCAATTGTAATACTTATTGTATTTTTCTTTGTCTTTGATTTAGGTAAGTTTTCAGGAATTTTAAACATTTAATTTATTTAAAACATACAAAGATCTTTGACATCCTGCATTTTTCCACAAAAATTACAAATATATGAAACTGGACAGTGCACGTTCCAAATAAGCGACATGTAAACAAACGTCTTAAAGACGTTGAATTTTTTGTCCAAGTAAAACTTTGACTAACACAAATATTACATTTCTTGCTCATGATATTGTTAAATATTTTTATTAGTATAAATAGGTTTCTGTTAAAATAAAAAGTCTGCGAATGTGTAATATCTGTTTACTTTTTAGGTTTAGGAATCATTCCAAACACGTTGATTGGAAAAATGTTCAAAACAAATGTAAGAAGTAAAGGTTCTGCTGTGGCTTTTACAAGTTCCTGGGTATTTGGGTTTTTGGTCACCACCGCGTTTGGATCATTAATAGATATTGTTGGTGCTCATGTACTGTTTTGGTTTTTCTCATGTTCTTCGGCATTGGCATTTATATTTACACAGATATACATTCCAGAGACTAAAGGGAAAAGTTTACTGGAGATACAAATATGTAGTAATATATAAAACTGAAGATTTTTTAGTGAATGCGCTTTCAATTTGATTGAATATTTTTTTGTTTTTTATACCCCATTAAATTATATGTTATTAAACTAAGAGTAGTATTTTTCTTATAAGAAATCATCGATCAATAAAGTACAAGATACACAACCCAATGCAAAAGTTCTCTTAAAACTAGTTGAAATAAATATACAACAATGTAAATTGTATCTTCAATGCAATGTTTAAAGTTTTTTTCACAAAAAGAAAGCGCGCTCAAATGTTCAAATGAGCGCTCATTCGGTGAGGATATTTTTTGGCGATGATTAAATAAAAGCAACCCTAGCCACTCTCCGGAGTTATATTTTCGTAGCAAAATGCAGCTGAATCTGCACTAAGATCTAGATTTAACCGACAAAATAGATAATTAATCTTAATTGCCTTTATCTCAGATCGGACTTATACAGGTGACACTCTACGATCATTTATGCCAATAGAAGACTAATAATTTAATAAAATACTAGCGACTCATCCTAGCTTTACTCTAGATCGTCCATAGTTAATTTTTTAAATTGACATAACTTTTTTGTTTATGAACTGATTGAAAAAGAAACAAGTACGACTGAATGTTAAGTGAAGCTTACAACAATATATTCATAAAAACCACACCCCAATCGGTTAAAAGCCGTTTCTGAGATTAGCGCACAGACAAATAAATAAAAATTCTAAAAATCATTGTTTTGGGTTTTATTTTGTGGTTACAAAGACACCCAATAATAGTTTTTCTCAGACATCTTCTATGTATAGAGACCGATCAGTTACACTTTTATTATATGAAACGTTTTATTATAAATCGCACTAAAAAGTATCCTATATGTTAACCTGGATAACCAGCTATCATTATACAAAATTTCATTAAAATCTGTCTAGTGGTTTTCTCGTGATGCGTTCCCAGGCAGACAGACGGACAAAAATTCTAAAAACTATAGATTCGACCTCTGTATCGATAACAATGACTATTTCAAGAAGATTTTCAAAAAAATATTTTATGTACAGATTGGACTAAATATTTTATTATGCGTATAGCATGAACGAATTAACCACTGGACCAGACATATAAGCGGACGTACCTTTAACGGTCATGTCAGTAACCAGGGAATTTTAGCCTAGGTCGTTTGTTTTTTGTGTCAGTCTCAAGCACTTACTTGTCAACAAAACATCTCCCAAAAATGACTAAATGTTCTGTTAAATGGTGTAAAAACTATAACGGCGGAAGCAGCACTATTTTTTTTCACTTGTAAATACATTATTTTATTACATTTATTGTTATTTATCACAAAATTTAATTAAATGTAAAATAAAATGTCATATTATCCAACTATGTTAAATATAGTCGATATTTCTATGTATTGTTGACATCTGACAACCATCATATAGGGGCTGGATTATACCATTCAGAACAAATGACAAAACTGTCGAGTGAGTCCATTTGACATCGACTAGTGCTTGACAAGGTCGCAAAATATATCGATATTTGACGAAATAACTCAACGAATTGTGTTATTTGTACAGTACAATAACATAAAATACTTTTATCACAGTATCCTACAATCTGATGACAATAAATTTATAAAAATATTTTCTAAATCAAATAAAAATATAAATGCAAAAATTATAATTAGTATGTGTACTTAATTTTTTACTTTATTTTATACCACATTTATATTTACTTTGGAATATTATTCCATTGTAATAATAATAAAGATCATTTTACTTCAACACATAAATTACACAAAATCAAACAATAATGTTTTAGCACTAAACTTCTGAGTTGGCGATTTGTAATAAAACACTTTACCACTTGCACTAATTATTTTACTTTTACGATCCAACACTCACTTTTTCACAATTTGCAATCACTTTTTCTTTTTCCTAATTTCACAAATGTTTATTAATAACTGAGCAATATTAGGATAGTATCACATTTTTATAACTACCTGAGACAATCAATTGCTAATTAAAATAGTTCAATAACAGAATCAACAAAATCACTTTATTTAATTAAATTACCTTAATATTTTTTTAATCCTTACAAAATAATATTTATTATATATTACTGGAATATACACCCGATATTCATTTGTTTATTAACATTATTATAGGCCAACAGAATGTTGCCATCAATGCCATCGTATTTATATAAATCAAATTAAAAAATAATTATTATTTGACACATTATTATTGCCTCTTTAATTCATTTATTTTAATTTATTATAATAAATACAGATATTTTAAATTAAAAGATATAAAATATGATGACTATGCTAACCAATGTCTAAAATGTCATTCATTGGTTCATCGATATATGTATTTTATCGATTACGTTCAAGCACTAGAAATATTGTATTGTGTATCAGTGTTAATAATAATGTAATAAAATCTTTGTGTGCGTTATGCGTCACTTGGTTGAACTAGTTTTCATACATTTGTATTTTATGTCAGGTCCAGTCTCTAATTCGTCCATGGCGTATAGATTACGGCATTAACATTCCGCTTAATGACATTTCCATTTTTAATTTCTTTCAGCGTAAACGATTGTAGAATGTCATTTTGTCCCAAAGTCCAAGTAGTCCGGTAGTAAGTTAGCCCGAAAAATAGGGGTGCAAGGGTTTGCGTAAATTCCCAAGAAGCTGAACATTTATATGGACGTTAGGGATACCATTATAATGGAATTGTGAAAAGTCCTCATCGTTCCTATATATGCAAAAAAATTTATGCAAGGTCCAAAAGGTTCACAAAAATGTTTTTTTTTTGATTTTTCAGCGAAACGGTCAAATATATAAAATTCTTGTGTTATTGTCACAGTGTTTATTACAAAACTCGTCCGAAACGGCTTGGCCGATTCTTATGAAATTTTGTGTATATTTAGTAGGTCTGAGAATAGGGATAAGGGTGGTCTATGCAAAAAAAAAATTTTTTAGACGAAAAAATTTATATTAATTTTAAATAAAACTATCTTTTCGGATTATTTCGCGGATTTATTTGGATTTTTGGTTCCCGACGTTTCGAATGCTTTACAGCAATCATGGTCACGGGAGAGACACGTCGGGAACCAAAAATCCAAATAAATCCGCGAAATAATCGTAAAAGATAGTTTTATTTAAAATGTCAAATATTCGCGTAAATATAAGAAAGTATTATGTTATTTTTTTTATGATTTGGCATTAAAAAATACATACAAACTTAAATTTTCACTAGGGACGAACCCAAGCGGAGTGAGGGTGAGTCACTAGTATTATGATAGAAATAGTTCTAACAAAAATTGTAGATCAGCAATGATTTACTAAAGTGTTCCTTACTCTTTGTTACTAAGATTCACAATTTCTGAGGAAAAGCTATTCCAAAATGTACTAAAGTTGTATTCTTCATAATATGCACACGTTTCCACGCCACTTATGAGGTGGTGTACTTGGCGCGTTTTTTTTCATTAATTTGACGTTGACAATTATGAATCCTAGCTAGTGGCCGAGTAACATTTAAGGTAATTTAGTCGGATAGTATTATCAAATCGGGCAAAATCGGTAAGAGTCGTTTGTTTTCGTTTCACCTTAATGCGACGAAATTTAGACATCTTATTTCCTACATACTTTTAAAGTTTACAGTCCAACAATTTATGAATTAAACATTACGGGTCTAAAGGATTGTACGAATATAGACTATTATAACCAAATATAAATAAAACAATTATTTGTAATTATTAATTTATTTACATTTTTAGTTCTAATGAATTAAGTGTGTATAAATATTGTTATTTAATTCGTGGTGAGAAATAAATGAGTATTCTATTCTATTATAGTTTAATCACTCATAAACAGCAGGACCAATTGGCATGACATATGGACATGGGCCAATAGTTGAAATCGTATCCGCCTCACTGACTCGCATAGCCTCCACCATGTTCCAGCACATTTCGCTGCCTCTTAACGATTCCCAAGTTGAATACACCAGATCTCGTACATTGGTCTGATTATGTAGCTCAGTGGGATCCCAATTGAAAATCATTTGTGTCCAAAGATTTTCAATGGGATTTAGATCGGGACTTTTTGCTAGCCATTGTAAGATTTCGATATCAGGATGACTCGCCAACCAATCTTGCACAGCTTGAGATCTATGAATGGCACTATTGTCCTGGGCAAGATAAACAGTGCCTTCAGGGTTAACCAGACGAATGGTCACTAAAAAAATCGTTAAGGAGTTCCATATATTGATGTTCATTCATCCGGCCACTCACTTCTCATGGACCCGTGGAACTCATCCAACCCCAGAAACCCAGACTTATTCTTCCACTTGACATATTAAGCATAGTATTAGCTTCTACATAGGGTTCTGTGTAGGCATTTTATCAAATCATTGTAATTTCTTGTAGATTTTGAAAATTATTTAAAAAGATCTTGTGTCAAGTGGACAGAATTGAAATTGCATCCATGAATCATGGAGTTTTTATTTGGCATAAACTTTGAGTAAATGTCTATTTGAGTATTAAAGAAGAGTTGTAATACAACCAAATTAAGAATTATTGTGGAAAACTTATGACAACCTTGAAAATGACTAACATATATCTATCCCTTTTGAACAGTGATAATTTCTTTCAGTTGCGTCTTTTTAAGTGTTAAGTGTGTAGTTAAGTGTGTTGCTGTTTATACCAGCGAAGTAGACGTGTGTGATGGTTATCGAATATTTTCTTATATAAATATGTTTATAAAAATATCTGGACTTCAACGACAGGTTTTAGCATCACTATGTTGTAAGTATTTTAGTCGATTACTATTTTTTCTATTTTGAGTCGATTTTAATTAGTAGTAGTTATTTGTATATATTTTTAAATTGGAACTTTTTACTGTACCCTTTATCTTACTTAGAGTAGACGCCGTCTGTGTAATAACTATATACATAATGAGTTTTTGAATGATGCTGTAAAGAATTCAAAACATCGGAAACCAGATATCAAAAAAAAGCGAAAAAATCTGAAGAGATTTCAACTGTGAATTAAGTATTATTTAAAATAGTATTGTATACTTAATATTTGCACTTATATAAAAAATATGCATTAGTCTTCACATAGTTAAGAAATTGTCGTACATAATACTAGCGACTCACCCTGGCTTCGCTTCAGGTTCGTCTCTAAACAAAAACGATTTTTTTCCATGGGAACCGTACATTTTTCCGGGATAGCCTATATACTATTTCAGACTATAATCTAACTCTGTCCCAAATTTATTAGTTATTGCGTTTTATAGCCTATTTATTTAAGCAGGTATATAATTGGCTGTCTAACATAAGAGTCATCTCCATGATAGGATATATCCTTAGGAGCATCCTTGTACATAAATAAACTACTCGTCCTTCTTTCACATGGAAATGGAGCAATAGGTATATGATACATAATGTAACCAGGACGGGATTAAAAAGAGTGGAGGCCATATAGCACTTAAATAGTATAGGACCTAAAAATATTACAAAAAAAATCTTTTAGCTTTTTGAAACCATAAAATAGTTACATTAGTTTCACACAAAAAATTATAAAGCCTAGAAATTTCAAGCCCATTAGACTCATAAGACTTTGTCTTCTGACTTTGACTTTGACTCCCAGTTCTAATTTCAATAAAGTTTATGATCTTTGACTTCATAAAACAATCTAATTATATTTTTACTGTTTTACTGGCTACTTTCTTATAATTTTCACCTAAAAATCTTATTTGGAATTAGCGGCTCACCCAGGCTTTGCTCAGGTTCGCCTTTAGAAAAACAAAATCAAATCTATCCCACGGGAACCACACATTTTTCCGAGATAAAAAGTAGTCTATGTGTTAATCTGATGTATGAGCTATTGTAAAGTTTCATCAAAATCCATTCAGTAGTTTTTGTGTGAAAGAGTAACAAACATACATCCATACATACATTCTTACAAACTTTCGCGTTTATAATATTAGTAGGATATTACGATTATTTTAAATAAGAGCTAAATCGGTCCATCATCAAGTGATGAGCTAACCAACGAACAGCATTTCATTTTGATCTATACAGATTTTTATTTGTATAGATCTCGACTGTTTTTCTCTTGAGATATTATTATTAGTTGTAAAATGTTATTTAAGATTGCTAGTAATAAAGTAATTGATGCATTAATAGTATAGAATAAAATGTCATTATCCATAAGATTTATTTATTTAGAATAAGCTTTGCAAATGATTACTGACTAACATACATATATTATCTTTTATTATCCTCTTAACATCGTTTTGTTAGTTAATTCCAAGTTATTAGAGATCAAGTTATATAATTACATAATAACAGTAGTAACGGCTTGAGTTTATACATTTTTAGAGTTCCGTATACAAAAGGCAAAAATGGAACCCTTATAATTTTATTATGGCCGTATGTCTGTACATGATAGCTATTTTACACGGAGATTATTGAAGTCATATTGCTGAGATTTGGTAGGCCGGTGTTTTACTTGAATCACTACGAAATCCTATAGTCAAATTGCGAAAAAAAATATACAAAGACTGACGTTGGCAATTCATATATGTAACTAGGTGGTAAAAAGATTACTATGTCTGATTCGCACTTGTACAAATAAGTGTATAAAGAATATTCTTTATCCTGCTCAATAAAAAAAGTAATTAAAAATGGTTTTATATTTTCACGCATCCACTGACTAAACAAGTATTGAGGATTTTTTGTTTGGCAAACGGGAGTATATGCGTGTGAGAATCATATTGAAGTGTTTTCTCCATTCTACGCGATATCGGCGAAGTAAATGGTGCCCAAAGGGCACTCCTAGGATCCATTGAATGAATTATTATTAACGTAATAATTAAATTGCACCATATTAATAGTTTTAGGTTAGCAGTTTTAGTAATAGTTCAAGATCAGATGTCGAAACAAACTAAGCATTTCGACCATTGTTCAAAAAATTACTAGATACACAATCAGCGTCAAAAATGTCCTCACCGAATGAACGCTCATGTGAATATTTGAGCACGCTTTTGATTTTTTGTGAAATCAACTTTAAATATTGCATTTAAGGTTTAATTTACATTATCGTTTATTTATTTCAACTAGAATAATTACCTAAACACAATGTTTTGAATTGTATTGTGTATAACTACACTATACTTTTTTGATCGATGGTTTTGTCCATAAATTCTATACATTTGTGAAAACTGCCGCTTGAATTTTAATATATAATAACTAGCACCTTATCCTCGCTTCGCTCTGGTGCGTCCCTAAGTACGATTTTGTTCACAATTTCATGGGTTCTATTTTTTTGTGCGGAATCCTGATTCTTTTTCTAACATACAAGTAGCCTAAGTTAAGCCTAAGTTTACCAATGAAATTCTTGTCAAAATCGGTCCAGCCTTTGGAGATTAGCCGGAACATATAGACAGACAGATTTATCAGAATGATCAGTTCTCTTTCTCACTATGTATGTAGAATCTATAAAGTCCTGGAGATAGTAATAGAAGATCTGTACGGAAAAATGATTGAAGGGTGTAAAATTTTTGTTAGAATTAAGAAATTATTGTATGTATTTTTAAAAGTGAGTTACCCTCACAAAAGACGAGTATTAAGTGATGTGCATCAGATAAATCTAAAATACTCGTACACTTGTTTAATTTCAAATTTGCAGGTTACATAGGACAGTTGGTTGTTGGATTTACTCTAGCTTGGACGGGACCTATAATTCCGAAACTTCAGGATCCAACTGAGACGCCGCTATCAGTTCAGCTATCAGACACACAGTTATCATTAGTTGCATCAGTTATCTATGTAGGAGGGATACCAGGTGAGGAATTTAATGTGATTTTGATATCTAAAGAGATTTTAATTATAATTATGATGAATTTCTTTTTATATGAAAAAGTTATCATTTACATTTTTTATGTAATATACATCAAGCAAATCGCTATCGCTGGGAATGTATGTAGGAATGTAGCATGTACAATTATCGAAGCACAACTATGTTATAAAACTCATTTTGCTTACATCGTATTTCAAAATTTGATTAAACTAAGACCTCTTAATATTTTGTTGTTTTATATTGCAGGTCCATACATAACGGGATGGTTATCAAACGTTAAAGGAAGAAAACCTTGCATGATAATTGCAGGAGTTGTATTAACAACATCGTACCTTATATTAGCAATTTCAAATAATCTGGCAATGATATACTGTGGCAGATTATTAACTGGTTTTGGGATGGGATGTGTGGGTGTAATGAACTTGGTGTACATAGGAGAAATTGCGTTAGCATTTTTGTAACGTATATATATTTATTATTTTTAAGTATGATTCCCAAATTTCAACAATTACACTTCTATCATTCCGTATGAAGCTAATATTTGTAGTAATTTTAATAGAACATGACGCAGTATGCGATGCAAATGGCGGTATTAAAAATACTCTTGATGACTAAAAAATATTAATAGGTAACTCTCAACGTAAAGTTTTTTTAACTATCGATCCTTTTGTTATTCAATTATTATCCAAAACCGTGGCAAATATTATATAATGTAAGGAGATAGAAAAATAAGGCAACACCGTATATATGTATTATATAAAAACATTTAAAACTGTTATTTTTTATTTTTTACAGGTCAACAAACATCAGAGGTATACTTTTAACAATCATAGGTATATTTCATACAGCCGGATCAATCGTGGTATATGCCAGTGGACTGTTCCTTTCCTACGTAGGTGTTACATCAGTAGGATTTGTTTTATCATTCATCTTTACAATATTTGCGTTGTTTCTACCAGAATCTCCTATGTTCTATATATTAAAAGGTATGGCAAGAAAATTTCTCTTTTGTAATGAAGTCAATTGTTGCTCCCTAGATTCTTAACTGCTATTTTATATTTTAATAGTAGTGGAAGCTTAATAGTTTTGCCAAGCCCTGCTTTATTTACTAAAATTATGATTAAATTGATGTACCTATAGTATTTATTATATGTATTTATATTTTAGGCGAAGATGGTTCGGTAAGAAAAGTGTTAGAAGATTTAGGAAGATCTAATGATATAGATGAAATGATTGTATCAAAAAAAGAATATATAAGTTCAACAGCTAAAAAGGATTGGAAAGAGCTATTTACAGATGCTAACAACAGAAAAGCTCTAACCATTCTTATTGTTGGAAATATATTTATGCAATGTAGTGGGATTATTGCTATAGTGGTTTTTTCTGGGACTATATTTAGTATGGCTGGAAGTACACTTAATTCTAATGTAGCGATGATCATAATTTGCAGTTGCGAGCTGACTGGTAGCATGCTTGTGCCATTTATGATCGAGAAGTGCGGGAGAAAGATTTTGATGAAGATTTCATGTATTTTATGCTCTTTGTCTATGGTAAGATTTTGATATGACTATTTTAAGTTACTTATTAGTGGCTTACCCTCGCTTCGCTCGAGTGCATCTCTAGGTACGTTTTCAAGAAATATAAATAGTTAATTGCTAGCGTGATCCATGTAGATTTTTTTTCTGTTTTTTTTTTCGATGTTTTATTGGAAATTCTGCTGTTCGACAATTCCAACCAATCAAAGATCATAAAAAACAGTCCAGCTGTTCTTGAGTTATAAATGGTGTAACTAACCTGACTTTGTTTTATGTATAGATTTTTACACTAATCCAAGCTTATCAATTAAGTGACATATACTTTGCAGTAGATACGTTAGATAGAAATAGAATAATGATATCAAATCCATATAATGTTATCTTTATTCCTTGTTCATTTTTTAAAGGATTTATGTTCCACAGAATATTTTTGAACAGATACCGGATAGAGTTTTTAGAAAAATTCACCGTAACCGATTTTTCCATATGAACTGAAATTGTTAGTGCTCTTACCCAAACGTAACGTACTAAAAAGTTAAAAAGTATAAACGTAACATACTTATAAGTACGAGCGAATAACACCAGTGGTCCAATATGTGCACAAATAGATAGACAGGTAGTAAGAAAGAAGGAAATTGAATTTCTTAATATATATTTCGCTTTGTTACTATTTTATTATTATATGTATTGTATGTTATAATATTATAATTTATATCTTGTATGAATTTATTTCGTGTATCTCAAAAACGTAAGTTTATCTATATAGGTGTTTTTTCTTAAAAAAGAAACGCATTTTTTATATTTTTTCCGAATAATCCATCACCATTATCATCATTTTCCGCATCATCTTAGTAATATTTTATTTTACTTTCAGTTAATTATGGGTTTATATTTCTTTTTTGATTTTAAACAATATTATGTGGTTAACAACATCAGATGGCTACCAACCGTTATACTTATTGTATTTTTCTTTGTCTATGATTTAGGTAAGTTTTCAGGAATTTTAAGCATTTAATTTCTTTAAAAGACACAAGGATCTTATAGATTCTGCATTTTTCAATAAAATTTAAAAATATCCAAAACTGGGTAGTGCACGTTGCAAATAAGCGCCATATAAATGTCATGAAGACGTCCAATTTCTTGTCCAAGTAAAACTTTGGCCAAAGCAAAAATTACATCTCTTGCTCATGCTTATTTCGTTAATATTTTTATTAGTATAACTAGGTTTCTATATAAAAAGTCTGATAATGTGTAATATTTGTTAATTTTCTAGGTTTAGGCGTCATTCCAGGCACGTTGATTGGAGAAATGTTCAAAACAAATGTAAGGAGTAAAGGCTCCGCTGTGACTATTACAAGTTCCTGGATATTTGGGTTTTTGGTCACCACCGCGTTTGGATCATTGATAGATATTGTTGGTGCTCATGTACTGTTTTGGTTTTTCTCATGTTCTTCGGCATTGGCATTTATATTTACACAGATATATATTCCAGAGACTAAAGGGAAAAGTTTACTGGAGATACAAACGTTTAAAAAATAGAAAATAAGTAAATAAATAAATATGTAGTGATATATAAAAATGAATATTTTTTTTATTAATGCACTTTCAATTTTATTGTATTTTTTTTGTATTTTATAGCCTATTAAATTATATGCTAATAAATTTTTAGAGTAGTATTTTTCTTAACGCAGACTTAGGCTTAACTTAGGCTACTTTTATATTAGAAAAAGAATCAGGGTTCCGCGCAAAACAATTAGAACCCATGAAATTGTGAACAAAATCCTACTTAGGGACGCACTCTGGTATGGATAAGTCGCTAGTTATTATTAAAATTCAAGCGGCAGTTTTCACAAATGTATAGGATTTACGCATAAAACCATCGATCAAAAAAGTACTAGATACACAATCCCATGCAAAAGTTCTCTTATGACTATCATTGTGTTGAAGTAATTATTCTAGTTGAAATAAATATACAACAAAGTAAATTGAACCTTAAACGCATTGCTTAAAGTTGTTTCCACAAAGATAAAATAAATTAAAAGCGCGCTCAAATGTTCGAATGAGCGCTGAATCGGTGAGGACATTTTTGATAGCTGATTGTGTATCTAGTACTTTTTTGGTCGATGTAAGAAACACAGAAATCTGTAATTTTTTATACCCTTTAGAGTTTCTTAATAACAAACCAAGCATTCGGTCCAATGTTTTACTTCCTACTCAGTTATTATTTATTTACATTTTAGTTTAGTATAGATTTCTCAGAGATGAGATGTTTTTCCGCAGTAAAAAGTATATTATATGTTGACCCGGATAACCAGTTATCATCATACCAAATTTCATCAAAATCTGTCCAGTGGTTTTCTCGTGATGCGTTCCCAGATAGAGAGACAGACAGACAAAAATTTTAAAACTATATTTTGGCCTCTGTATCGATAATAATGACGATTTGAATAAGATTTTTCAAAAAATATTAAATGTACAGATTCAAATTTGTTAGAATTTTATTATATGTCTGTAAAGATTGATATGGCGCTTAATGACATTTCCATTTAATTTCTTTCAGCGTAAACGATAGAATGTCATCTTATCCCGAATCCTAAAGGACAATAATGCTTATATTAAACAGTCTTTTTTATAAAAATAATTATTTCTCTGTGCGAAATTCATATTTTTAAAATATCTCGTTTGTTTTATCTAATAATTTTTATCTTTATTTCACTTAAAGAACAACGTGTAAAACTAATATTTACCAGCTTATGCTCGCAGTTTAGTCAGATTTTAAAGAACGCAGATAAATAATATTTGTATAATAAAAGTTCACATTGAAATCTGTTCAGTAAAATTTTATCTTTTACACGTACAAGCAATATAACTATTTTTTATGGTGCAATGATGAATTAGATTTAATTAGAGTTACACTAGAGAAACTATTTAAAAATTAAATTCGATATATAAAATACAGACCTAATATATGAATAAAGGTTTTTCAAATTCATTTTATGGGTAAACCAAAGAAATTATTTTCAACTGATTTCTTTAATAAAGGAGGAGTTTCTCAATTCGGCATTTTTTTAATGTTTGTTACCTCAGAACTCCGTTATTTATTAACCGATTTGGGCAATTTTTGTTTTGTTGATATATTAGTCGCATTTAAATTTCATAAAAAATACCACTCCTAAGGATGGAAAAATAGCTTATGATGAATTTAACCTACTCCTAATTATGATATTAACTTGAAATTTTGCAAGTGTTTCTCTTTCCGTTGATAGTGCAGTGGTTCGGTACGTTGACCTATACTTTCTTCCGACATTGCTACTACTAAATCTACACTAAAAAGGGAACAATAAAACTTACTTCAAAAAAATATAAGCCCACTAAAAAACCGTTAAAATGTAAAAAATAGCTGATTGGTAGTTTTTTTTTAATGAAATCTACCAATAAGTATTTTTTTATTTTTTTGTTTTTTTTTGTAGTCGTTTGTATTTTTTTAATGTACCCACTATTATCGCCACAAAAGTCAAATGCTTTCTCTGTGGAAGAAAGAGATTTGTATTATAGGGCGCGATGTCACGGAATCACATCACGCCTTGCATTCAATAATGGATCGAACATTTTGGTGTATACGGAAAGAGGATAGCTTATAGAAAGTTTCACATTTCTAAATAAGAATATGACATACGCATATTAACTCTTAATTCCTTTTTAATCTGTGTCTCAAACTATCTTCTTACCATATTTAATTTAAATCTAAATTAATAATCTTCGCTAAATTCTTATCGTAACTTTATGCTTAAATGTGTTGTAATATGATTTGTTTCTTTTTTGTATCTCTATAAATAGTTTCAGATTTGTTTCTAGACGTTAATTTTTTCTTAGTTTAAACTTAGTTATAACATAAAATATATTAATGAGCAAGCTGTGGTCTAATATAAGTGAAGGAGCACACGTATTGTGAGTCTTATTTGCTTTTTGTTTTTATATGATGTTGTATATTGTGAGTATCTTTTGTTGGAGATCCTAATTAAAATGAAATAAAAATAAAATAAATCGGTCCAGTAGTCGGAGCTCATTGTGTACAAACAAACAATTTTTTTTCCTTATAATTATATAATTTATATATAGATATAGATATATTAAGGAGCTGGTTAAAAACCTTACAATATACCATATAATTACCAGGAGTTGTAACTAATAGAAGAAGTACTAATAGAAGAGTAGTGTACTAATAGAAGTATCATTTGGAAGTTGAAGGTTGGGCAAGTAGAATGAAGAAAAATGGAATAAAATTGGTCGAGCCTGACTCTTATTCATTGAATTAAATGCAAACTGAAAATACCGAACAGTCACATCTTAACAAAAATTACTTTAGTTTGGTTACTTCAATTATAACTCACGTGGGAATCAAATCTGTTAATCTAAAGTATAGTAATCAAAGACAGGCTATTTTTCTACTTCGTTTATTCGTCACTTAGTGAACGGTGGTCTTGATAAGAAAGTTTGCTTTGCAATAAAAATAATATCTGCATTAAATAAGATGACAAACAGATTAAATAGCGTAATATTAATAAAACGATAAGATCAGTTTTTATTGCATTAAATACTTAAAAAATTTCATACGATAAAATTCAATTTTGACAGTTATATAATTTTATTGCATAGCTAACGACTTACTCTCGCTTCGCTTGGGTTCATCCCTGGGTTGATTCCCTATACAAACTTTCATCACCATTTTCACACCCTTAAGGGATGATTTCCGGGATAAAAAGTATCCTATGTCCTTTCGGGTCTCAAACTATCTTCTTACCAAATTGCATATAAATCGGTTCAGTAAAACCAGATATTACGTCTACAACCTTACAAAGTCACAAACGAAATATCTCAGAAACTCACAAACTTTACCTCTTTACAATATTAGTATAGATTGCATGATCTACTTATTCCTCGACACTAAAACATAATCTATTCACATGAAATCGATATACCGTCAAATTTTATACTTTAATAATTCACTTATTTTTAATATTATTTAATAACTATAGTGCGAGCCATAAAGATTGACAATAAAATGCATTGACCATTCGGTTGTTCAGACAGGGGTTTTTTTTAACGTTGGGAAATGCATTTACGCACGAGGTGTGGGACTCACCGGCAAAGCCAGTACTACCCACTAAAACCCAACAAAGCCTTCCCCCGTCTTAATGCGGCGTCGCAGGATCGCTTACGCATTCAACTACGACGCCCCGACGGCAGGTCTGCCGAAGCAGACCACAACAACCACGGGGTTGCTCCAAGGTCCACTCTGCTATCAGAGAAGTACCAGGAGCAACCCGCATGGTACACCGCCCTCCGAAGAGGGCCACCTCCCACTGCCCACCGAAGTGGGCCACCTCCCTATGCGTTTCTTGGCTTCGCGCCCGGTTGGGTTGCCGGGCACTACTGAGCCCCTTCACCACGACAAGGTGAACGCACATTGGGGGGGTCAGACAGGGGTACCAACCCTTTTATTACAGGAATTATTGCACATTAACTGGCCTCGCAGGTCAGTCTGTAATAACTCTACTTTATTAGGTTATGGATTTGATTCCCACCAAGGACAAACATTTTGTGTGATGAACATATGTAGATATTTGTTCTGTGTTGGGATGTTTGTATGTATTAAAAGTATCTATTATGAACAAAAAAGGTTAGTATATTATTAATTTATTTACTGGACACGTAGTTGTAAAAACATTATAGCATCTTATCTAAAAATTATTATATTACGTTAAGTATTTGAAGGTGTCACAGAGTACATCATATTGTAACAGGCTTATACACTATCTAAAAATAATTATAATTAATAACAAAAATAACAGTTAAACCTAAAAGGAAAAAAATAGAAGAAAAAAACTCAAAAGAAAAAAAAAGGTCACGCATCCCTGCCATCTGACGTAACCAAATGTTATAGACGTAGTGCCATAACTCGCGTTTTGTTTAAAATTAGGAAAAACATTCGTAAGTGTAAAAAGAAACGAAGAAGGATAATTATAATAAGAATTGATTTTTACTAATCTAATAATAATAATAATATGAAATATGAAATAATATATAAAATGAAACATTCTTAGGTTTTATACCGTATGCACCATTTTTACAAGTACCAGAGACAATACTATACGGAGATCAACAAAATGAGACAAATAAACAAGTCTTGTATTATGTGGAATTGTAATCAATGATAAATTATCATTTTTAACCGACTTCCGAAAAGGAGGAGGTTATCAATTCGTCGGAATCTTTTTTTTTGTAATAAGCTGTTATTTTGACATTACAAACAGACAATTCAATTTTATTTAACACTAGCATTGTCCGCGGCTCCGCCCACGTTCAGATGACCAAAAACCTAATTCTTAGGTTTTACATATTAGTATACTCTTACAATACAGTTTTTGTATTTTTTCTCAGAAATGAGATATTTTCCCGCGGTAAAAAGTAGCCTATATGTTAACCCGGATAACCAGCTATCATCATACCAAATTTCATCAAAATCTGTCCAGTGGTTTTCTCGTGATGCGGTAACAGACAGACAGACAGTCAGACAAAAATTCTAAAAACTATAGATTCGGACTCTGTATCGGTAATAATGACTATTTCAATAAGATTTTCCAAAATTTATTATATGTATAGATAAATAGAGTCTTACAAATTGTGAAACTTCCTAAATGTATTGACTATAAGCATATTTATCACATTTATGCTTAGTATGTTATAGAGTACATAGTAAAATTTAAATAACTATAGTTATTTCGTAAGTACAGAAAAAGTGTCTAAGGCTCCTTAGCTATGCACATAGTTATACAATTTTTATTGTATATACATACTTAGTGTATATATAGACAATAAAAAAAGTACATGGTTTTATGGGGTTATCCCCATAAGACCTAAAATTCGAGTTATTACACTTTTTCTAATGATGTCAGCAATCTGATTCGCAATTTTAATTTCTCGTGGTATGCCCGAACAGATAACTAAACCACTGTTCAGTTGGATGCAATTTTCTTCTTAATGGCTTAAGCCAGTGTTTACCACTATTACTAAATTTTTATAATATAAGTGCAAATAGGTTTTGTCAAGAGACATTGCCACTATGTGCAAGATGCCAAGATAGAGCGGATTACTCATGTGATGCTAAAGAAATATAAGTTATATATTATATAAAATAATGGCTAACATAACTGGTGTAAAGCGACAAATTTATATATCTGCTGTCTGTACGTATTCTTTTATATCGGATTTTTTTTATTGAATAGTGAATTTGTGATATCAGTGCCTAATAATGCAGATCAAAGTGCCCATATTTTTAAGTGCCCAGATTTGTGTTAGCATTCTTTGTACATGAATACTATATATCGCTCAATGTTACATATGTAATTCGTTATTGAAAGTTTAGAATAAACGACTGGATGCTATTATATGCAGTCGTTTTTACATAAATAAGTAAATAAGTTACTAATGTAATGAAAAAACCCAACATCTATTAGAACAAATTAGTTTGTTAGAATACTCGGTTGAGTTTATAGCGTCTTTTAAATATGTAATTTGTGTCAAATCTAAGCAAGGGCATATAAAACACAAAAGCAAGATTTTTTTCTAATTGAAAGTCTAAGAAATTATCTTAAGTTTTTAGAGTAATTTTCGATACCCCTTTAAATTCGTTGTTGAACGAAAAATTATGATAACATTTATCATTATAAATTTAGTCATAAGCAATAACATGCACAATAATTTGATATGTAAATAATAGCAAGCAATTATAATGTGTTGAATGTTTAACCAGTGTATTTAGGACAAGCGGTCTTAGGCTATTCACTAAGTTGGTCGGGGCCTATTATTCCAAAACTGCAGAACCTCGAAGAATCACCACTACCATATTTGTTAACTGAGACACAAATATCTTTAGTAGGATCCTTAGTGTACCTAGGGTCTATACCAGGTAAACTATTTTCGTAAAAGTTGATTGATACCTAAAAGATTTGATTTGAGAATCACTTTCCAATGACATCTATTTAATATGTGACGAATTTTGCTGTTAATTTAATTTAATGTTTAGTATAGACTCCTCAGAGATGAGATATTTTCCCACAGTAAAAAGTATCTTATATGTTGAACCGCATAAAAAGCTATTATCATACCAAATTTCATCAAAATCTGTCCAGTGGTTTTCTCATGTTGCATTCCCAGATCCAAAAATTTCAAACACTATAGATTCGGCCTCTGTATCGATAATAATGACTATTATAATAAACAGATGAACAATAAATACATACATATAGCACATAATAGAAAGAATTGTATCAAAAAAGCAATCTCAAATTATGAACTTCATGTTGGGTTAAATTAGTTCTACTCACTGCAGTGTATAATTTAAAATTAATATTAAGAATATATTTTTTTTATTTCAGGACCATTTTTAATTGGATGGTTAGCAAATTATAAGGGTCGGAAACCATGTTTAATTTTGGGAGGAATTGGAGCCATAACTGCATATGTTATATTATCTACAACGAGAAGCTTAGCATTGTTATATTTTGGAAAGATCCTCAATAGCTTTGCCGGAGGGATGATAAGTGTTAATAATGTTGTGTATATCGGCGAAATGGCGTTAGTCTCCATCAAAATGTTCATGTTATACTGTAGATATTCTATTCTTTAAATTTATACTATAGAAATTATAGTTATTAATTTACAAACGATTTTACTTTCCACGTCAATTTTTTTTTAATATAATTGCTTTTTGATACCAAAATTCGATTTGGCCAATATAATTATTTGCTCGCAGGAATTATTTACAAAATGTAGTAACTTGGGACAATTGTAAAGACCTAATAGAATTGGTGAAAGTTAGTGATTTAATTTATTTTAGATCCACAAATATCAGAGGCATCCTGCTGTCAGCACTCGGAATGTTCACAACATTTGGGTCAATAATACTGTTTTCTGTTGGTCCATTTTTTTCATATCAAACATCGACTTACGTTGGTTTAGGCATGTCTGTTTTATTTACAGTAACAGTTTTAATAGTACCAGAATCACCAATGTTTTTCGTTTTGAAAGGTATTTTTATATATTCCTTTTATTTTAATATTTTTTATCATAATAATATGATATACGCCTTGGAAGAACCAGATTCTACAAAGTTTTCTCTAATGTCGTCAATCTCTTTATATTGCCATTGACCATAGCCATATACTGGATCCTATTCTCTTCCTGCTTATACAATCATTTGCTTTAATTTGCAAAGTAGAATATCAAAAAAAGTTGGTTTAATTACTACATCAAAACAAATCTAAAATAATACTCTGAATGTTTCAGATAAAGAAGAAGAACTTATCAAAGTTTTAGGAAAACTTGGAAGGATAGAAGATAAAGAAAAATTATATGAAACAAAACAGCAATATAAATCAACAACCGGAAAAATGGATTGGATAGAACTTTTAACACTCAGAACAAATAGAAATGCTTTGTTCATAGCCATCATTGCAAATATTTTCCAGCAAATAAGTGGAGTTATGGCAGTTGTATTTTTTTCTGCATCTATATTTGAAATGTCCGAGTCATCGATAAGTTCATCTACTTCTATGCTAATTATTTCATGTCTTCAATTTTTTGGAGGCTTCTTATCACCGATGCTGATTGAAAGAAGTGGTAGAAAAATACTAATGTTATTATCAACCGCCATATGTTCTTTAAGTATGGTAAGTGCCTAAATATAACATTTTAATTTTTACAAATTTTATAATTTCATCTTATTAAATCCAACGGTATCAAGATAATCAGGTTTTTGCAAACCTGTGATTGTCTCATATAGATAAATTAGACATTCATAATAATGGATTATTATTATACAGATGTCGTTAAGCAAACAATGACAAATAACCATAAAGAACTTAATTATTTGTTATTTTCAGTTGACAATGGGCACGTACTTATATCTATATTATTTGAATCCGACCATAACTAAAAGCGTGAAGTGGTTACCATTAGTAGCATTGAGTCTGTTTTTCATTGGGTATGACATTGGTAAGAAATAATGTATTGTTTTGTATTTTAGGGCCTTAGATCAGAGTTTCCCAACCTTTCTTCTGTTGAGCCTCCCTGGATTATAAAAATAATTTTCATGCCCCCCTTTATTTATTTTTATTATAAAACACATTATTTTAACCATTTCCATTTTAAGTTAAATGAAATAAACTCTACGCTTTCGTGTTTGCGAACTCCTAATTTAGAAATTGCTAAATTAAATATCTCTCTAAGTGATTACTAGTCTGACCTATATAAAAGAAAAATATTTATTTATACATATATATTTTTGTATCGGTTTTCCCAAAAAAATCATCGTTTATATTCTGCTCATTCTTGCGTAATATACTTTTTCAGCCTCTAATTTGGTATCAAATTAAGGTTTCATAAGAAATTATGACAAGTTCTAGAAAATAATAATTAAAACTTATTGGACTTAAAAGAAATAGCAAGATCCAATACAAGCCACTAAGACTCAATACCAATTATAGTTAGTCTAGCAGATAAACTAGATAAATTCTTCGAATAAAATATATTCTTGTGGCTTATAAAATCTTCAATAACACACTTTATTTCTAAAATATTCTTTGGTGTTATATTTTACAAAATTCAGAGCTGAGATTATATAACAGACAACTACTGTTTTATCGCAAAATATGTATGTAAAACATTACGAAAAACACATTATTTGAATATTTTTACTAGATACATTCGGCTCAATTTGTAGTGCTTGCTAGTACTTGCTGTGTCATCGCTCGCAGGTTCGAGTCCCGCTGGTGGCATTCATTTGTGTGATGAGCACGAATGTTTGTACTCCAGTCATGGGTGTTTATATTTATAACATATATGTATTTAAAAGTTATATATGTATATTGTATCAACTATCTGGTATCCATAACACAAGTCTCGTAGCTTACCGTGGAACTAGATGGTGCTGTGTGTTAATGTCCCAATATATTTATTTATTTCTTTGTTTCCAGGATTGGGTATTATACCAAATTGCTTGATCGGAGAAATGTTTACAATAAATGTTAGGAGCAAAGCGTCTGCTGTGGTTCTGACTTTTTCTTGGATGTCTGGATTTTTATTAACCACTGCGTTCGGATTCGTCGTCAAAAATCTTGGATCTTACGTGCCATTTTTGTTTTTTGCATTTACTTGCGGCGCCGCATTTTTATTTACAATATTTTATATTCCAGAAACGAGATGTAAATCTTTGTTAGAGATACAAAAACTGTTAGCCGAATAATTAATTGTTATTAGATTTGTTTTTTAGTTCAAGAAAATTAATGATTAATTATATATCTGCTGTTTATTATAAATATTAATTCATAGTTTTATTATACATATGTTGTTGTTTGATAGATATTATGAAAGTAAAATTTTAACTTAATTAAATATTAAACTATAATATATTTTTATCATCATCATTAATGAATTTGGTTCCATGTTTCGGTTGACAGCAATTTTATTTTTATATGTTGTTTTAGAAAATTAAACAAAAAACATTTTAGCAGTAATAAAGATTTTTCTATTTGATTTTGTTTATAATTGATTGAATTGGACTAATAAAGTTTTTTAATTGTTCCGAAATAATTAAATATTATTCATGCGCATTATCTACATTGATTATTATATATGTATGGTTACATACAACCTCGTCGTTTCTCATAAACACGTGTTCTTTAGTAACTTTTACTTTTAAGATATAAACTTGTCCGCTCACACTCACACACTTGGCTGTGCTTTGCCTGAGGTCAGTGTCATACATATAACATATAGATATATAGATCTTGATGTATATAAATGTTTGAAGACTACTAGTGGTTATGTAATTATTTTATTTTGTTTAAGTGAGAAAGTCGAAAGTGAGTCGGTAGTGTGTTTGTTACTTGGTTGGTATAGACTTGTTTGACATTTGCAATGTAGATAACTTCTGAACCATAAACCAAACGCGTGTGCCAATTTTCATGATTCATACGAGTACGTCGTTAGATTCGTCTTGATTGTCACCCTTAGCACTAGGGCTATAGGCTATATAAAAATAGTTAAAAAATGAAATGGTGGATTTCAAGCGCCAATTTGTGTCTTTAAAAATATTCCAAATCAGTAGAGTGGGATATCAAAATAAAGGTTTTTTAAAGGCGATAAAAATATATACAACTTATAAAAGTAATTTAGAATAAAAAAATGCTAAATATTACTTCTAATTGGCAAAAATAGAAAATAGCTGTCCAAAAAAATATATTATAAAAATAAAAAAAAACCCCGACTGCATAAAAGGTAACTAAAAAGATGAAACAAATTGACGAATGAATATAGTATTATGCAATCTTAGACATACACAGTTATTGTACATCTCGCGGCAAGGGTAAAAAGTAAATAAATAAAATAAATAAATATGTCAGGACATTAACACACAACACCATCTAGTTCCATGGTAAGCTACTAGCTTGTGTTATGGATACCAGATAGTTGATAGATTATACATACATATATAACTTTAAATACATATATATTATGAATATAAACACCCATGACTGGAGTACAAACAAGCCGCGACCGCTGGCGCAGCAAGTAGGGTTACTACAAACTGAGCTAAACGTGTCGCCAAAAGTGTATGTCTCCGACTGCATAATACTATATTCCTTCGTGAACTTGTTTTCATCATTTTAATTAGTTTTTTATATCGATATACCTTTCACGTGAGATGAGCTGTAGGTAGAGATTAGTATCACAATATATTACAACTCACTATGTCGTTGTTGGAATATATTGATGGGACATTAACAACACAACACCATCTAGTTCCATGGTAAGCTACGAGGCTTGTGTTATGGATACCAGATAGTTGATACACAGATATATAATTTTAAATACATTCATATTATAAATATAAACACCCATAATTGGAGTACAAACATTCGTGCTCATCACACTTATGAATGCCCCCAGCGAGAATCGAACCCGCGACCGCTGGCAAATCAAGTAGGGTCACTACAAACTGAGGCAAATGTGTCTTAAAACTAATACTAAACTATATAGCTAACTAGCAGAACCCACGGCTTTGCTAGCGTTAAAACTACAAAAAAATCTAAAAAGTTAGTTTCATACAAACTCTCATCCCCTATTTTACCCTCCTCTATATCTATACTAATATTATAAAGAGGTAAAATTTGTGATCTTGTGAGTTTGTGACGTTGTAGGGGGTAATCTCTGGATCTACTGAACCGATTTTCAAAATTCTTTTACCAGTAGAAAGTCACGTTCTTTCTGAGTGTCATAGGCTATATATTAACCCGAAAAATGAAAAGGCTTTTTCGTGGTATTCGGATTTGCAAAGTAAGTCGGAGAAAAAACGGTCGAACGAAAACGTTTCTTACGAACGCTGCCTTAACGATGAGAGATATATGATTATGTTCTAGAAAAAAGTTGTAGAGCTTAATAATGCCTACAAAAAAGTCAGCGACAGCATATGTCTAACTTTTATATTTAAGTCACAAAAAGTAGTTTTTTATGTTAAAAAAATCATTTAAATCGGTAGGTCATGTTTATTGGTCGTATTATCAATAATTATGAATTCTTATCAAAATAAGTAAACTTATCGTCTAAAATGTTTAAAATAAAAGACTTTTCCCTTTTACTGCATATAATTTGGACAAATGGTTAAAGAGATAATACAACATATTCGTATGTATGGACGAACCCGAGCGAGCTATTTATCTGTTTTTCTCTTTGTACGGGCTAATCTCCGGATCTATTGGACCTATTTAAATGAAATTTTGCATGGTGGTACCTTATATCCCCGGGCAACATCTTAGATACTTTTCATCCTGGAAAATTCAAGGGTTCCCGTGGGATAGTTAAAAAACTATAATAACTTATACATCTTAGTGCACAAAAACTACTGATGGGATTTTAATGAAACTTTACAATAATATAGTTCATACATGACAAAAACAAATCAGCTACTTTTCATCCCGGAAAATTAAAGAGTTTCCGTGGGATAGATGTTTTCGTTTATTTGTAACTTATTATGTACACAACATAGAACCCCAAAACAATAGTTATTAAAAAAATTGTCTGTTTGTCGATTTGCCTGTATGTCTGTTTGTTTTTGTGTGCGCGTTTCACGCGAAAAGTAATGTACCAATTTCAACGAAATTTGGTGAAGTAATAACTTATTACTCGAGTCAACATTTAGGGTACCTTTTGTATGTATGTATGTATGTATGTATGTATGTATGTATGTATGTATGTATGTATGTATGTTGTATTCAGCCGTTTTTAACACACGCACGGGCCTCCCTTCAGTACGAGGTGGATCAGGCCATAGTCCACCACGCTGGCCTATATCAGAGGTGCTAGACCCGGGATTTGAACTTACTTCACTCGGTTTCCCAAGCAAGCGCGTTACCACTGGGATACCACTGCCTAGATACCTTTTACTTCAAGAAAATCTTTCTTTCCCACGGGAAAATATAATAACTGGTTTTATCAGTCCTCCCTAGAAACCTTCATCTGGCTAAGCCTTAAGACATACGTCAAAACAAAATACTAAAAAATTGTAGGTCTTGAAAAGTCCTACAGAAAAGTTCTGAATAGTATATGTCTATCTCTTAAGTTACACTCGCAATATTTATTCTTATCTATACCTATAATAAAACTTAGTCAAATCGATGTGCGCGTTTCACGCAAAAAGTACTCAACCGATTTTAACTTCATTTTGTATAGTGATAAAACTTAGTGCTCGAGTCAACATTTAGAATACTTTTTACGACAGGCAAATTATTCATTCCCACGGGAAAATACAATAACTGGTTCTATCGAATTGTCCTTAGAAACTTATATGGCTAACGTTGGCTCAACCTTAAGAGATAGATCAAATAATTGTACAAGAAAATTGTAAGTCTTACAAAGGTCTATAGAAAAGTTCTACATAGTATATGTCTATCTCCTAAGGTACACTCGCTATAACTATTTTCATTATTATATACTTCTGTTTTAATATACGTTATTTATTCTATCTGAATATAGGTACATATATGAATAATAAACTGTAGAAGTCGAATGTCTGTACATAGATGGTAGAAAAAAATGCTAAAAAACGAGTCAGTTCTCTTCTTACATCCCCTAAGGAGAGAAATAGAACAAATCCAGATTTTTTTCAATTTTTTTGTTTCTCTGTCTGTTTGTCTGTTCGTACGGGCTAATCTCCGATGCTATTGAACCTATTTAAATGAAATTTGATACTTTTCACTCCGGAAAATTAAAGAGTTCCCGTGGGATAGTTAAAAAATTATAGTAACTTATACAGCTCAGTACACAACAACTTATGCACCTAATTTAGTAAAATTTGGCATGCTGATACCTTATATTGCAGGTCAAACAACAGGTTACTTATTTTTATCCCGGAAAAATGAACGGTTCCCGTGGGATAGATCTGTTTGTGCTTTTCTAGAGGTGAACCCGAGCGAAGCGAGGGTGAGCCGCTAGTATATAATAAAATTGTAACGAAGCCGAATCTGTACATTATATATTTTTTTGCAAAATCTTATTGAAATAAACAGTATTATCGATACAGAGGCAGAATCTATAGTTTTTAGAATTTTTGTCTGTCTGTCTGTTACCGCATCACAGAAAAACCACTGGAAGGATTTTGATGAAATTTGGTACGGTGATAGCTGGTTATCCGGCTCAACATATAGGATGCTTTATATCGCGGGAAAATATCTCATTTCTGAGAAAAAATACAAAAACTGCAATGTAAGAGTATACTAATATGTAAAACCTAAGAATAATTGGTATTTGGTCATTTGAACGCGGACGGGGCCGCGGGCAATGCTAGTATAAGATAAATTTCGAAAAATGTTTAAACACGTATTTATTTAATTTTATAGAAAAGCATTAATATCATCTTTCAATTCTGATCATAAATATTTTTTGGATTGTATTAATTTATATATTTTGGCGTGGGAATTAGATAATCTCCGTCGGTAAAAAGTAGCCTATGTCACTCTCCAGCGCCCCAACTATCTCCTCACAAAAAATTACGCCAATCCGTCACTCCGTTTCGACGTGAAAGAAGGACAAACAAACAAACACACTTTAACATTTATAATATTAGTATGGATAGGTAAACAAACCGCTATGGTTTAGTTAAGATTACTGACTCTTGATAATAGTAAACATAGAATAACAAAAGTGCATAATATAATCAGTCGCATTGCATTTAAGCTAAGAAATAGAAGTGTTTGATTAAAAAAATGTTACAAAAAATAACTGGTATAAAGAGACAAATTCTTATTTCTACTTGTTGTACGTATGTTTTATATTATATAATTATTTTATATTATAATACGCGTATATTTTACCGGCGAGATCATGAGATCGAGAGAAACATTACACAGAAAGTGAACAATAATACTGAATAATATGTGATATATGCTAAATAAAAGGTAAAATAACTTTTGAACTTGGTAAAAAAAAACTAAACTTATTACTTACTAATAATGTTTATTTTAATCAGATTTTCCAAAATATATCTAATGTACAGATTCGGCTTAGTTACAATTTTATTATATGTATAGATTCTTCCCACACGCACGACGTGGTGTTGCGGTTTGCTTCTAAATAAATTGTGTTATATTTCACTATGAAGTCTTATTTTCCTTTAACACTTTCAGTGTATGTAGGACAGACGCTTTCAGGCTTAAATTCAGCATGGAGTGGTCCTATAATTCCAAAGCTGGAAGATCTAAAGCAGTCGCCTCTCCCTTATTTGTTAACGGAGACACAAATTTCTTTAGTTGGTTCACTTATATACTTAGGAAGTATACCAGGTATGGATAAATAAATTTCCTTGTCTTCTTTCGAATTATTTTAAGCATAAATAATTATTCTATTGGAAGGTTAAATCTATCTTTAAATTCAATATTTGGAATTTTATATTATCTAAGATACAAGACAATGATTTAAAAATCATAATTTAAATTGCCGTGTAAAAGATAAAAAAAAATTGTTTTCAGGGCCATATATTTTAGGATGGATATCAAACCTTAAGGGTCGAAAGCCTGTTCTGGTCACTGGTGGTCTGTTCGGAATTTTAGGATATTCAATTTTAGCAATTTGCTCAAACCTCGGTATGCTCTACAGCGGAAGAATATTTATTGGATTTTCCACTGGTATCACAAATATGATGAACATAGTATATATTGGTGAGATGGCGTTAGTATACTAACTTTTAATTATATAACAGTTTTATTTCTATTTTAAGGTACCCTCATATTCTATAATAGATTAAGTTGAAGGGTTTGTCTGTTTGTTTGTATGCGCTAATCTCTTCATCGACTAGTCCGATATGAAGAAATCTTTTTGCCTATTTATTAAGGAAGGTTATTAGGATCTTACATGAAACTGCGACCTACTAGAGCGAGTTAATTGTACAAAATTTAAAGACACAGGTGAAGCCACGGACAAACGTTATTATTAATTAAACCAGCGCTGTTGTATCATAAACATAAATGCCGATAGTAAAATATCCTCTTAAAAAATCTATCATAAAAGCTACCAATTTGCTTGTGTCAAAAAATATATAAAGCCTTTTTTGACGTCTCACTGCTGGGCGCGGGCCTCCCTTCAATACGAGGGGGATCGGGCCATAGTATACCATGCTGGCCAAGTGCGGATTAAAGAACTTCGTATGTTTTTCGAAAACTATTTATTTAGGTTATCTCAGACAACCATGTTTCCTCACGATGTTTTCCTTCACTATAAGACAAGTAATCATGTTAAAAATGATTCGTACATGAAAATATCAGAGGTGCGAGACCCGGGATTTGAACCCGCTTCACTCGGTTACCCAATCAAGCGCGTTACCACTGGGCTACCACTGCCAAAGTATTTATTTATGTATACATATGTATATATTAATTTCCAATATTATGCTGTGATAAGAAAATAAAATAAAAAGGAAAGAAGAATTGTAATAATGATTTTTTGTTTTTACTTTAGTTATGTGAAACTAATTATAAGAGATATTTAACGTGATATTGTATTTTTCTCATTTGTGACTGTAACTTATTGCCTTGGACCCGCAAGCGGACTTTTTCGCTTGGCGATAAAATTTTATCCATATGTGCCTGTAAAGTGCAATCTTTAGTTATATTGGAGAAGCCGAGGCTTAATAATAACAAACATTTGCTTTTTCTTTATCGCCGAGTTTATATGACTTTTATATCATTAAATAAATCAGATAATCCTGAGATTAATGAAGTATTATTAGCCTTGCAATTTTCATCACAAAAGTTGTTTATAATATGAGCTCAATTTGCCTTTTTAAAGGTGACTCGTATGCACAGACAGTATATAAATGCATTATCTAACAGACGTACAGACGTAAAACCGTTAAATACTCCTTAATACTTTCTTAGATTTACGCGAATATTTGACATTTTAAATAAAACTATCTTTTCGGATTTTGTCGCGGATTTATTTGCATTTTTTGTTTCCCGACGTTTCGAATGCTTTACAGCATTCATGGTCACGGGAGAGACTGAGGTGTTACATGTCTTGGAGGTATAGTTGTTACAGACAGCCTACCCACAATTATACATCGGACAAACAAAGCGATCCATTAGAACCCGGGTCAAAGAACACATAGCTGATGTGAAGCACCGTCGCAATACAACATCTGCTGTCTGCAAACATAGCCAGGACCGCCCAAGCCATTACATTCGCTTTGATAGACCTCAAATCCTGGCGAAAGAAAACCGATATCGCCCTAGAATGATTCGAGAAGCCATAGAAATTAAAAAACATCCTAATTTCAACAGGGAAGATGGCTGGGTACTACCATCGTCATGGGATCCTGTTATTAATATAATAAATTCAAATAATAAATATAAACATAACAGACAGGTAGATGTAGTAAGTTCTTACTGTGTAGATCAAAATGACAGCATATCAGATTAATATTTTTCATTTCTCATTTGTAAAAGTATATAGTAATAGTGTTGCTTAGTAAGTTGTTTTTAAATAATAGCAAACTAAATTAAAATAATTATCCTTAATTAATTAAAACTTTTTAAATTACACATAGAACAATTATATGGCTTAAATAATTAACACTATATTTTATATTTTTCTTTATGGTTATAAATATAATAATGGCAACACTAAATATAGATTACTAATTAATATTTAAAAATTGTAATAATTATAAAAATAATAGCAAAAATTAAATAAATAATATTCCATATTCAATTATAATTAAAATTATAAAAATGTTTAAAGTTAAAAAATATTGTAATGTAATTGGTGCAATTTTCATTTTGTTAATTGTGGGTAGGCTGTCTGTAACAACTATACCTCCAAGACCTGTAACACCTCAGTCTCTCCCGTGACCATGGATGCTGTAAAGCATTCGAAACGTCGGGAAACAATAATGCAAATAAATCCGCGACAAAATCCGAAAAGATAGTTTTATTTAAATACTCCTTATCTCTCACTTCACTAAGGTGAAGGTGAGTATTTAACATTGGAATGTCAATGGACCAATATTGTTCAAGATATTCGATGTGTAACTTTGATGCCGTTAAAATTTCACTATATTAAATACATTTTGTTCACAGATCAACTCACATTAGAGGTATATTGTTAACGATTTTTGGAATATGCAACACTGTGGGTTCAATTATAATGTTTTCTATCGGACCATTTATATCATATACTATCGCATGTTATGTTGGTCTTGCTATAACTATTGCATTTACATTGGGGTCATTATTACTACCGGAAACACCTGTTTTTTATTTTATAAAAGGTATAAGTTTTTTTTAAATTTACAATAAAAGAAATAAGTATTTAGCCTATTGGGTAGGTCTTCACTTGTTTTATTCAGGGATTACATTACACAGTTACTTAGAGATTAGAGAAATACTTAGAGATTTACAATATCAATGTTTTTATTTCCGCCCGAACCCAACCCAGAGATGCGAGTGCTACGCTACAAGGATCATTTGGCACGTGGCCGAAATCAGAACTAACACCGCCATCTTGTAAAGCATCACTTTTGAGAGAAGCTGGAGTTGATGTTTGTTGTGGATATTTCGTGCTTTTACTTCAAAAAAATATCATAAAATATGAAGTGATGTTATAGAGGTTAGGCGGTTTTTTTATAAAAGACTAATGACTCACCCTCGCTTAGCTCGGGTTCGTCCCTAGGTTGATTCCTCATACAAACTTTCATCTTCATTTTCACCCCCTCAAGGGAAGATTTCTAGGATACAAAGTATCCTATGTCCTTTCCCGGCTCTCAAACTATCTTCTTACCTTTCATCTAAATCGGTTTAGTAGATCCAGAGATTATCTCCTAACGTCACAAACTCACAATTCACAAACTTTACCTCTATATAATATTAGTATAGAAAAATCCAAATTTTACATCAACGCCCTCATGTCAAATTGACATTGTCAGTGTCACCTAAGTGCCAAATGATCCTTATAGTACCCTTATTCTGCACGGTGTACTGATGTGACCACTACATATACAATACACATAAATATATATACAAAACAAATGTAAACTTACGTTAAGATAATAATTTTGAATGAGGAAATAGGTAAAATTATTTATCTAATAATTACGTATATTAATTCTATACTATGGACTTTTATTTTATACTGCTAATGTTTACTGGCAGCAGCTTTCCCTTAAATTCTGAATCTATCTATTATCCATCAGTACTTCCTTTTTACACTGGATCGAGACAATCTTAAAATATTTAGCTAACATTTAAAATCTCAAGGTTTCAATCTTAAATAGATAATAAAAATATTTTAGGTGAAGAAAAAAATGCCGTGAAAGTCTTAACAGATTTAGGAAGATTGGAAGACATTGATAAGATTTCAGAAGCGATGAAACACAATCTTACTACATCTACAACCAAAGACTGGATTGAGCTATTCAAATTGAAGAGTAATAGACGAGCTTTATTCATTTCTACCACTTTAAATGTGTTACAACATTCTAGCGGTGTGCTAGCTGTTATCTTCTTTGCTGCATCTATTTTTGAGATTGCTGGTTCTTCAATTGATTTTAACATAGCTATGATATTAATAGGACTGTTTCGTTTAAGTGGAAGTGTGATAAGTCCACTCACGGTTGAAAGGATTGGGAGGAGAATTATATTGATGACGTCCACTTTAATATGTTCTTTGAGTATGGTAAGTTTTAAAACTTACATATACTGAGAGTTAAAATCATCAAATAATAATAAATATCATAGTTTATACTAAGAATTATTTTTTTACTTTTACTTGAACATGGAAACGGCGTCCAATGTAGGAGCCGCAGCGGTACAGAAACTAAACCGCTTGATGTATTGTTTTTAATTACGACACGTTTGACTACACGTTTGGCTCAGTTGGTAGTGACCCTACTTGTTGTGCCAGCGGTCGCGGGTTCGAGTCCCACTAGGGCCGTTCATTTGTGTGATGAGCACGAATGTTTGTACTCCAGTCATGGGTGTTTATATTTATAATATGTATTTATTTAAAGTTATATTTGCGTACACTACACATCAACTATCTGGTATCTATAACACAAGCCTCGTAGCTTACCATGGAACTAGATGGCGCCGTATGTTAATGTCCCAACAACATATAATTACGACTACATTTAAGTATTTTAGTTTCAAATAGTGTATATAAATATAAAAGTTAGTGTTTTTACACAACTTATCTATAGACCAATGCAAATATTGCTGTGATCAGAATAAAAGCGTTTCTTGTGCCTGATTGAATTTGCTTTTAATTTCGCAATGGACCTACTCAGATCTTAAACTTTACCGTTAAACAGCTTTTTGTCACAAAATGATCAATTATTTTATTTCAGTTCTTACTTGGTACATACTTCTACTTAAACTACATCGGATATTCTGGTGTTAACTACGTAAAATGGCTACCCTTTCTGATTCTCATAATGTTCTTCATAGGTTTTGATTTTGGTAAGCAATTATTGCATCAATTCTGTATATATCATTACCATTCATGATATACTTTTTTGTGTTAACTTTAACCCAAGAAGCTCAATCTACGTCAATTTTACATATAGTTAAAGGCATTGCCATGACCACTAGAGCCTAATTATTGCTGGTAGCAGGCAAAAGTAAATGAGAGAATTAGTTTGTATATTAGTATAGATTTATCTACATTTGACTAATAAATATTCTTAAGAAATATATTTATTTATTTTTGAAATTTTCAGGTCTTGGCATTATACCGAATACCGTAACAGGTGAAATGTTTACGGTGAATGCAAGGAGTAATGGTTCTGCTGTTGCATTGACAATCGGTTGGTTATCCGGATTTCTGATAACCACAGCTTTCGGTATGTTCTTTTAATTTGTCCTTGTGTTTGAACATACATACATACATAAACTCTTTATAAAAGCTAGATAGATTTCGATGAGATTAATAATTTATTTATTTAATTAATTAATATAATTATAATATTGCTTGTAGGTGATATAGTAGAAAATTTTGGGGGACATACAGCATTTTGGTTTTTTAGTTGCATAAGTGCGATTGGGTTCGTTTTCACTTGGATTTTTGTCCCTGAAACCAAAGGAAAGAGTTTGATGGAAATTCAAGAGTTATTAGGTAAATAAATTTATAATTATTTTTGTATATTTATGCTTTAATATTCTTTAAAAAAATTATATAAGATGTTTATTTACAAGTTATAATGTTATAATGTTGACGAATTATATTTCTTTAATAACCGGTATGGTGTATTCATTACCCCCTGATTACTCCGCAAGGGATATAGTGTTCAGTTACAACAGTTACAGGATTTTGTTAATTATTTTAGTAAGAAAGTATTTAATTTAATGACATAAAATAGACTAGGGTCGATAATTTATGAAATCAAAAAAAACAATAGTAGGATGAAACCCATTGAAAAAGGAAATGAATATAACAAAAATGAAGAGAAAAATTATTTACGGGCTATCTGAGGTCGGGAAATGGGAGGTTGGTGGGTGAGTTTTTAATGGTAAAAAACGGTTTATCTCGATTTCTGGCAAAACTACAAGTCATATAGAAAAAGTCAAATGGCAAAGTTGTAGGTAATAAAAAGATCTACATCTTTTGTATTTACACTTTTTTCACATAATCTCAAAATTTATGTGAAAATTAATTTTTCTCAGAAAATAATAAATTATATTATTAATAAAGTTAAAAATTAATGAGACATCTACAATATTTTGAGAAAGTTGTAGAATCTTCTTTAAATTATATGCGTAGATACCTATTTATTGCTACTTTAAGATAACTTATATCACTGGGTGACCTACGGAAAATTTTAAACCCATCAAAAGGTATTTCATAGAGAAGTGGGAAAGGGGCTAGGAGGGTTTGGACTATAAATGTTTGGATTTTCTGAGAAAATTTACCATAGTAATGTATATTTCTTTTAAAACCATCAGAAAGTAGAGATTTCATCGGAAAAAAGCCCACCGACTTTTTTTAAAAATCATCTGCTTTTTAAAAAATGTTGACGCGAGAATTAAGTCGATATATTACGTCGATATTAAGTCAAAATAAGGTGAAAAAATAAATATTTTAAATCAAAAATATTACAGTATACTTTGAGATATTCGCTGTAACGCCGTTGCGATTTTCCCTACTGCCGGCGCAGCATAGCGAGCTTCCTGCTCTTGTTGGAAGTCAACTGCAAACTTAAGAGTATATCGACATGGTATTCATATTTTCGTTAAAAAAACTCATTTTATTCACTTTTAGTATTTATTTTAAATGAATCATTTTTATGGGCTTATGTTGACTCATACTACCTGTTGTTAAAAGAAAGTTGGCCAAGCGTCACTATTCCTATATATTGGTAAAAAATGAAATAAAAGTTCCAGATTTGCAAGGCAATATTATTAACCATTTAAAATACGTTTTAGAGAGAGATATTCTTAAGAAACCAGAACCATTCGTAATATTACTACCCATTGCAAAATATTATTAAAGCGAGAGCGACAAAACATTGAAAAATATCATCCCAAATTAATATTTCATCATAAATCATCTTGATCCCAATGGACCGTCTCGTTATTTAAGAAGCTTTCATATTATTCCGTTGATATATTTTTTGATGACACATTTTCTAATTGTGTTCTCAAATTTACATAATTCTAATTTTCCGTTTTTTTTTAAACATAAAAAGTTTGTATTTAAATTGTTTATTTGGAGAGGGAGTGGGGGGGGGCTCTGGGGGGCTCATCATGACAATTGGTATTCTTTTACAACTTTTACTTTGGGTAGAATTTCTGTTAAGATCAAAGGCGATCACCTGATGTATGCTTTTTTTATTTTTTTATCCTCACAGGCTTACAACACTAGTTTTTTGTATATTTAAACTAATTATGATTACTCGCAGTCCTCCCAATCGTATGAAAGGTACGTCGATAAAGTTAATATAGAGTGCGTTATTAAGCCAGCATATATGTGTGTAGGTGTATGAGCTATCCCCATCCTGATTTCACCCAAATCTCTTAAGTTTTTACAGTATTAGGAGTAACAATTATACAAATAAAATCAGCCATTCATTAAATATACAATATACTATGCTTTTTCCTCGCTTTCAAATAAAAGATGAAATTTGGAAGATGATTAGGTAGTTATAATATTGGCTGTCAACTTCCCAACTCCGGGCTATTAATTATAATTTTTTGAGAGAAAAACTCAGTAACTAAGCTTGGCCCGACTCAGGACTCGAACCCAGGACCGCCGTACATGCTAGTCGCCTCTACAGTTAGATCTATACATATGATAAAATTCTAACTAAGCCGAAACTGTACATTAAATATTTTTTTAAAAATCTTATTATAATAGACATTATTATCGATACCGAGGCCGAATCTATAGTTTTTAGAATTTTTGTCTGCCTGTCTATCTGTCTGTCTGTTACCGCATCACGGGAAAACCACTAGAAGGATTTTGATGAAATTTGGTATGATGATAGCTGGTTATCCGGGTCAACATATAAGATACTTTTTACTGCGGGAAAATATCTCATTTCTGAGAAATCTATACTAAACCTTAAAACGTAACAAGGGACGAACCCGAGCGGAACGAGGGTGAGTCGCTAGTATACTATAATAGTCAAATACAAACAATTTAATTAATAATCTGACTTGTATTTTTGACTTAGTTCGTGACGGTTAAAAAATACAAATAAATTTCTTTTAACGAATTGTCGCGTGGGAGGCCTTTAAAACTGAATATTTCTTATTAAACACGTTTTCTTAAAAATATTCATAAGAATGTAAATTGCCTAATTTACAAATTGGCTTAAATTTTTATTTCGTTTCGTGATGGTTATGCTAAAGGAATTATCGGCTGGGATGTCTTCAATATAAATATTTCTTAAAGAAATATTAAAATAAAGTAAAAAAAGATTTTTAAAAACAAGCTTTTAATATCATCCGGCTCCATCTTCAGAACCTTGTAATTTCTAATGGAAGGTATTTAAGACAACAAACCAAACGAACCAAAATTCGACTGCCTTACTTACCACTTTCCTTTCCATTAAAGAATTCCACTGACAATCTTTCGGAAGATGGAGTCTACTCCATTATCAGATCTGCTCGATAGTACCATAATATTTCATTGTCACCTAAATTACATAAGTATACCAAATTCAAGCTCAGTTGGATACGAGGAAGTTTTTGAAAAACAAACTGCTTTTACACCTCCAGGTGAATGTCTAAGAAATTAAGTAAAATTCTAAGAAATCTATTGTTAACTGACACGCCGGCGTGTCCGCTGTCGTGGAGGCATTAAAACGTACAATTTTTTGAGTTCATCACGTTCAGACAGACATACGCGGCGGGGGACTTTATTTTATAGTATGTATTATTGATTTCAATAAAATTTTTATGAACTTGGTATAATATAAAATTAATAATACAGTGACATCTAAAAGTGTACATATTGTGTCAAAAAGTAAAAGGTTTAAAATTCAGAATGTGGACACCTGAATGTACATACATATTGTTACAGAATTTAATATAATCAAGTATCAGAGTCAAGCGCCCGAAGACTTTTGATATGACCACAGATGACAGTTAATTATATATTATTTATTTAGTCATAAACCCAACGGCTACCCATCCAAAAGCGAGAAGCTGATGATGATGATTGACCAGTAATCTTGGAAAAATATTAAAAATATTAAAAAGATCTATAAAAGTACTAGCGGCTCACCCTCGTTTCGCTCAGGTTCGCCTCTAGAAAAACAATAACAAATCTATCCCACGGAAACCGTACATTTTTCCGGGATAAAAAATAGTCCATATGCTATTCTGATATATAAGTTATATAATTGTAAAGTTTCATCAAAATCCGTTCAGTAGTTTTTGCGTGAAAGAGTGACAAACATACATCCATACATACATTCTTACAAACTTTCGCGTTTATAATATTAGTAGGATTCCATAAACGTTTCGTTCTTGTCTTAATAGCGCTTTTGTAAAATGAAAATAAATTAAATCGTGAATAATGTGAGACGAACTAATTATATTTCGTCATTAAGGAAGTTCGAACTGAAGTGGGTTTCTTGGAACGATTTCATCGTGTTCTAAGTCATTTACATGTTTGATGTAATTCATCTTATTAAATATATACTCAGAGTAAAATTGGATTTAAATTGTACAGAAAATTTTGTTTGAAAAATATCTGGCATCCAGAAAGTAGTGGAAACTGCATAATTAAATAATTTTTGGATGAATTTAAGAAGTCCTTGTCCTTATCCAATGCTACGTGAGGTAAAATGAAATTAATTTAATTTTAAGAGATGGCATATATTATAATAAAACTTTGTAATAGTAATAGATGCTAGCATAACGGTCGCTATCTTCCATTCGCTTCGCCAGCTACGTTCATAATTAAATATGCATACCTAATATACATATTATACTTTAACTTGAAATATTAGCAGCTCTAAGGTTTTTAAGATATATTTTATGATATCTCTAAACATTTCTATGTTATAAACTAACTACCTACTATGTACTTTCTATGTTTTAGACTTATATATAAGCACTTTTGAATCAACAATTTTCAGATATTTAAATTTAGTGTCAATATGTAAGTCTGCGAGGAATCCACCATCATCAGATCCTCCATCATCCGGATTACACAAACATACAAAAATTGTAATCGATAGTAATAGGTTTAAATCGTTTTAATTACCATTACTGACTGACGATTTTATATAACCATCCATATGAACAACAATTAAAACTATTGAAAAACATTTTTAATACATTCAAAAGGGGAGGTTAGAATTTTTTTATGTCAATTTATAATATCGAATTTCTTGATTCTTTATTAATAAGAATAGAATATTAAGAAGAAATTCTACTCGTAAGGTTGGAGGAACTTATATAAACAATAATTTTCTCTCGTCTGTTATTTTGTATCTGTATGTAAACGAGTATCATTTGAAAAAACTCCACCGATTTCATTGCGGCTCGTTAAAACTTCTTACTGACCGATTTTACGCAGGAATCGAGACCGCGACTTTTGACAAAAATATTCATACCCCATTAAGTACGTAAAAGGTGGGAAGGGTAGCCCGGTGGGAAACTAAGTGATGCGGGTTTTAATCCCGAGTCTCTGATTATCAAAAAAATAATTTCAGAGGACATGACAACATATGCGAATATATGCGAAATAAGAACATATGAGAAATTTCCAACATGATTGCCACTTGGCTTACTTTGAAGGAAAACAGCGTGAGGAAACCTGTATGTCTGAGGGAATCTAGCAAGTTTTTGAAAGGCATGTAAAGTGTGAATTGCACTTGGCCAGCGTGGTGGACTATGGCCTGATCCCCCTCGCATTAAAGGGAGGCCTGTGCCCAGCAGTGGGTCATTAAAAAGAGCTGGATATATTACGTACGAAAATTATTTTATATTATATAACCTCTTTGTTAAATTACAATCGGACTTCAAGACTTAATCTCTCAATATAACAAGTAACATAAATCTGAATGCTAATCAAATTTTGCAGAACTTTACTATAATTTATTAGAACGGAACGTTTTCATTGCGAGAGGAATTAGTGAGAATTATTTTAAAATGTAGATGTATTTAAGATCAAGTTAGCTTTTTGTTCATTGCTTTCTTTTCTTATAATAGAATTGATAATTTATTTAGTTGTTATAATATAATAAATAACTAAATTAAAAGTTACAGCTTACAGAATCAAAAAATATTCTTAAAAATAAATATTTTTGGGTTACTTAGTTTATATTTTTCCTTTCTTGTTCTTTTTTGAAGAGATAATTTATTTTTACTTATTATATAATTAAATAGTACATTACGATACGTGTGACTTAAGTAGTCTATTATTGCGCTTATTTTTCTTTTTATCAAAGATTACAAAAAAAAACCAGTCTAAAACTAAAGTTGATTTAAATTTAAGTCGATTAAAAGAATTATGAAATGTCAAATCACGTCCAAAAGAACTTTCTTTTTGTTACAAGCTTTTATTTATATTGCAATGTTTGTATTGGTTGTTCGAGTCAAAAGTTGCAACCGAACTTTAAAGCAGTTATCCTCTACCGATTGAGTTGAAGTTTTGTATACACGTTTAGTTTGGATGCCAATGCATGGTCAGCTAAGTGACGTCATTCTAAATCCAACATGGCGGACTTCCAACGATGGCGGA